CTCCTCCAAGACGAGTTGTCTAACTTCCGCAGTGCTTACGTGTTGTAGCCACCACACATGGGGAATGGACCGCAAACAACAGTGCTCAAAGACAGACAGCCGGTGCATGTCAATGGTTCGAACAGGCGACGTCTCGTAACCGTAAAACAGTACAGCGCGTACAGTCGCACAATAAACCCGGATGCCATGGCGGCGCCACCAACGAGACGAGCTCTTGAGATACATATCGAACTCTCCAGCAACTCCACCAGCAGCGATTTAACTTCCTAGGGACACGGAACTCTCCACAACATCCAGTTTCTAGCCATTGAGTGAGAGGAAGTATGGGCATCTGCCAGTCGGTGTGGTATCTTGTCACCACCAGAGCCACCGTCGCTCCGTTCTCTTCATATTGGTGCCGTAACCATTCCAGTTGAAGTTGACCTGGCCTTCGCAGTTTGCTAACAGCGATTTGGAAACTTGATTCGAGAAGTTTGAAGCTATCGCAGCATGCAGTGTAGTTAAAGGTGATGCTAACTTGCTGACGTCCTTGAGCACCCGGTTGATCGGGTGGGCGAACGCGATACACTTACTAATTTGGAAAATAAAAGTTATTTGCGTGTTCAGTGTGATGAAGACAGCTCTCTGTGCATAATTTGGAAAGGAGATTGACCGGCAACTGGCTTTGTAGCAGTTTCACTCGGCAAAATAGGAAGAGCAAGATTTCTTGCTGATGTTTTGCCAGAGGCTGGTCAGGCGCCTGGCGAATGGGCTCCCCGAGTTAGATGTTGCTGTAAGGGAATGATTGCTGAGAAGTCTGTTCATCCGAAGTCTATCAAGCGAACTTCAGGATGGAGGAATAATGGGAACAATGCTTGAAGTCAACAGGTCGGAGGAGTTAGTGACGGTGACCCAAAGTTTCTCAGAAACTGTGACTGCGAAGGATTCAACTTTTCAAGCTGGAACGGAAAGTAGACAAATTGCTACACATAGTGGCAAAGCTGACTTCAAAGCAGACAGTGTGGGAGGTCACACAACGCAATAAGCGTAAAAACCGGGATACTTGCCCCTGTTTTCGATGTAACGATGTAGGTCATTTTGCTAGATTTTGTACCGACAGAAGTTTCTATCGTTGTCCCTCTGTGTCCATGCCGAGTATGTGGAGAGTGCCGGTCATCGAGGTAACTATTGAATGGGTGTCAGTCCGTGCTGTAGTGGACACGGCGGCGGGGGTTCCATTACACGAATGTTCGACGGGATTCTGTTAACTCAGTCATCACCTGTAATGCAGATGGTCCGAGCATATCGCTTGAAGCTGATGGGGGCACAGTCGTTGAACCTCGGGTGGTTGCAACACTTATCAACTATTTGCTGTTCGTCGCGCAGGGATCTACGGAAACAGTAGTCGGTAAGGATCTCCTCAAGCGACTCGGGGCCATAATCGATTTGAGCTGGAGCGTGATAATTTTGGGCGACGAAACAATCTATCTGGGCACGGGACAGTTTAACCGAATGGGCGTCGCCAATGGTTTACCTGATTGCCCATGTCGCACACTACGGGATGACCTGCGGAGGTATGCGCACTTGTTCATGGATGTGAATGGTGACTACGCGTTCTGCAACTAATTAGAACACCGGATACCTAGAATCCCATGGTTACAGTGCAAGCCAGTCTACAGAAGAATATCACAAAACACCCTGTCGGAGATAAAGAAACAGGTAGTAGAGATGGAGACTAAATGGATCCTTAAGAGACTCAACAGCCCGTATTCATCGCCGGTCCTGCGGATGAAAAAGGCTGATGGAACTCAGCGATTTTGCTTGGATTTCAAAGATCTAAACAGAGTGACAGTGAAAGACGCATATCCGATACCACAGATGGAGGAAATTTTCTCCAATCTTCCCAATGCAAAGCGGATTTCCTTGATAGATCTCCACTCAGGATACTTGCAGCTCCCCATCGTAGAAGCAGATCGTCATAAGACAGCTTCTGGTGTGAACGTCCATCAGTATGAATTCTTGAGGACGCCATTTGGATTGTACAATGCTCATACTACATTCGGACGCCACTACTGATGCTTCTGGAAAGCCTTCAAGTTGTGGTTATCCATGGAGATAACCTCAGTATTTTATCTATGACACTACGAACATGATGCTAGACTCGCAGCTGTACTACAATATCTGGAGAAATCCGGTTTAAAACTATGTCGCCAAGAATCGCAACTCCTCCAGTAGTCTATTGTGTCTCTGGGTTACATTGTGAGGAGCGGTCCAATACAACCGCTCCCTGAGAAACATGAATGAGTAACAAGAATTACTCAGTTCCAAAATCTAAACCTCAGCTCCCTTCGTTTCGGGGAGTGGTGACATGTAATTGAAAATTCGTGCCCCATTTTGCAGAGGTGATCAGCCCATTACTAAAGCTGCTCCATAATGACGAATCGTTCGTTTTTACATCCGAAACGGAGCAAGCTTTCGACCACCTACGGTTGCGCAAAGGATCCGGCATGTTTACTCATACCCAATCCGACTGAGATGTTCACTGTAGCTGTCGACGTTAGTAACATTGCAATCGGTGCGGTGCTGCCCCAACCCACTGGGGTGATCGAATATACCAGTAGAGTACTAACAGGCGCAGAGCAGAATTATTCTACGATTGAGAGGGCATGTTTTGCTATCGTGTGGGCTTTGGAGAATTGGGAAACATACCTATTAGCGAATGAGTCCCATGTCATCACTGACCACAAACCTCTATCATGTCTGATAACGACAAAAGACACGAAGGGGCGCATTGCACGATGGGCCTACCGGCTTCGACAATTTACCTTTACCATCGAGTGCACAGATGGAACGAATAACATACTACCTGACATGCTGTCGCGCCCGACTTTGGACGAGCTCATGCCAGACAATGCTATACCGTTGGGTGTTGTCACAGTGGACGATAGAGACCTACTGGAAAGCAGATAACGGATGAATTCGTAAAGTTGCTGTGTACTAATTTACAATCGGGTGGTTGCAACGAATGGAATAAAACTACGGTTTATTTCATATAATAAACTGGAACGGGTGATTCAATTGGCCCATGCTAATTCTCCTATTAGGTTTGGGTACTTTTAAACTGCTACAGAGAATAGTGTTTTGGCCAACCATACGAAAGGACGTACCCGCATACATTCGGAGTTGCCCAAACTGCCAAACAGACTGCGATACGGATACACCGAGACCACTGATGCGATCCATTAAAGTCGACGTATCGTTGCGTTGTTGAGGATTGGACGTCTGCTATTTAGTCGCTCAGGAAGCAACTACATCCTAGTGATGACTGACTACTTCACTCGATTGTGGAAGCCGTGCCGTTCAGACATTAAACGCGAAACCGTGGCGCAGGTATTCGAATTCAATGTGCCAGCGAGGTGTGGAATACAGAAGTACTTTACCACGAACCAAGGACCTTGTTTTGAATCGACGGCGTTCCAGGCAGTGTTACACAAATGGAGGATCCAGAGACGACATACTTCACCGTGCCACCCGCAAATCACCGGAATGACAAGTATAAACTGTACAAAATTGGCGCGGGAGGAAGCATTGCCGGTACTTCTACTCGTTTGTCGAATCAGCATGCAGTCGACCACCAACGTTTGTCCATACCAATTATAGTACATCAGAGAATCAAGATTTGCACTCGGCACCTGCATAACGAGTGATCGTGACTTGGAACACCCAAAAGCGCATCACGAACTATTGGAAGCAACCGCCAGAAGAGTAACCAAACCTCGACAGTTAAGGAATAAGCGGAACTACGATACTAGGTATGCAGCTCAAAAGCGGAGACCACTCAGTATGGGGTGTTGACCGGAACATTGGGGACCGAGTGCTAGCAAGTTCAAGGAACGACAATTGATCACAAAGCTGTGAACTTCAACATTGACAGTGGAACGGCGAAACGCCAAGTAAACGCAGCTCTACTGTGGACATGGTATGCTTGGGTAAATCAACTTCGAACAGGGATGCGGAAAGTAACGAGCACGCGGAAGACTGGAAAGTCACGAGAATAGGAACAGGCACGGGCGTTGTAGGCGAAATCGAACGGTGCAATTTAAGCCCCACAGAGTAGCAGATCGCGAGCGACGAACGCTAACGGGCCTGAGCCCAGGCGAACAGAGGTATTTGTCGAAGGGCCAACAAATCAGACAGAAACGCCTTTGTAGGTGCATCCAGGTGTAACCCACACAACCAAGAGGATACGAAGCTACCACACCTATTTCAGTCGTCCGTAACTTTATTTCCCTTTCAAATCAATATTAGCTCTCACTATTCTTGCACCATTTTATCAGAGAAATAACACACTCCTCTCATCGGTAGTCGGTGGGTAGTACGGATTACTGATGCACCTCTGTAGATGTGTACTCTCATTGCTCTGGTGATTCACCATTTAATTAATAATGAATTCGCCTAACTACTGTTCACGTGTTCTGTAGATAACGTCTATGATTTACCTAATACCATACTTCATGTTTGTACACCAGCTTCTCTTAGCCAATTCACCAAACTAACTGACCATTTTTGCCACTCACCACCATGCTTCCATTGGCATCTAGGTCCGCACAAGCGCAAAGGTCTCTTTTCTACAACGCTTTCTCAGATGACATTGAGAAGCTTCCCACCGTTCTCAAATCTCTCCCTTGTGTAACGGTTTGATGTGTGTTGCCCTGCCTTACGCACCCATGTTTTTCTCTTTCGATGTCCGTCATCTTGTTTTTGTTTCACCTTAATGCATTATATAAACGCAGATTTTAGCCTCTGGGTTGCTGGCCCTGCTTTTGACTCTATTGTCCATTCCTGTATATGAATTCGGTTTTATTTATCTTCATTGGTAGTCGCATTTTAGTTTTCCGATCTTAGCTAATAAAGCGCTGTGGCACACTTTACTTTGTTTTTGATGAGGAACCCTTAACGTGTTTTCTGTCGCCACGTGTTATGCTGTGGTACCTGAAGCTTTCCCATATTGCTCTTTTTAGCTTCCCTGGTTACGTTGTCGCTGGATCCTACTTCTCCGGAACATTCGGATGTTATAGCTCCTCTCTGCTGCAGACCACAGTAAGTTTTTGTTTCAATTTTTTCCTCATCCTATATTTTGTTTTTCCCAGCGTAAGTTTATCTTAACCGGTTTCACTCTAGCGAATTCTAACTGACCGTACTCTTTTCAACCTACGTTATGTGTTCAAAAAATAGGGGGAATTGTTTCCATGCCGGGTATTCCCTCGAAAAGTTTCACCCTCACTTCTAGACACCACCTGGCAGTGGGTCGATGTGGCTTTAAAGCTCACCTTTCGGGCTGTTTTTATGTGTATACAGTATGGACACTCAAGCCATCTAACCAGCACCATCAATCGCTTTTAGCCAAGCACTATCTCCTCGCCAGTGAGTCAATGATAATGCGCCTTGCATGAGTGTAATCATCAGTTTGAAAACTTCAATCCGTCGCCTCGGATGATCGACCCAATCGTGGCCAGCAGTAAATTAAAGAAGAATATAACATATAAGGAGGTAGCAATTGTGATACAAAATATAAAGATGGCATATTTTGCTACAGCGCCATAATGACCGACTGATTTTTCGATCAATTGATATAATGGAATTACTGAAAACAGATGACTGCTCGAATTATCAATATGCAAGACAGTTATGAAAATAATTTTCTGCTTTACCCATCATTTGCATGCACTCGAAAAATACATCAATTATAGCTCTGAGCAATGAGACTTGCTATCAGTTCCTTGGCTGTCGCCTCCGGAAGAGCAGGATAACTATTTACCATTACAGTACGATTGTCGAAAGGGAATCATAAGTAAACAATAATAAAGTAATTGTTCATATCTTAACAGTGCGGTATATGGACAATGTGGACAATCCGATGAAACTTTGCAAATGTTTCGTCAAGATGAGCTTCTGTTCAATTGTACATAAAAAACGAGATTCCGAGTGGACGATTCAATGGCTCAACTATTTTGGGGTTGGTAAGCACCGTTTGAAAACAAGGCGCATTTTCGTCGCTTCCGTTTATGCCGCTGCTGACCATAGTTAAGAGGGTATCCAAGACGATCTTTAACGCAAAAACTACTGACATCATGATTGCTGTCGTTGTTGTTTTGAATGCAAAAATGGGTCGTCTGGGGTTATGAATTACACTCAAAAAGCTGCTTTGGGGTCGATGCACGCTGAGCAAACAATGACGGTCCATTTTTACAGCTCTGTGCCAACCAGCACCGCATTCCAGCACAAGCGTTCACGTCATGTCACTTGGTGCCCATCGAATCTCTCCATGACTTGGACCAAAATTGACTATATTGTCACCAGGTGTAGATAATGCCCATCGGTCCAAGGCTGTCGGTCCTTTCGGAGTACGTACCTAGATTCTCCACTGCAACCACGCTTGGCGTTCACACTTCCCGCTTCAGAGAAGCGCCTGTCTTCTTACCAGTAACTTGAACTCGCAATCTACAGTTCAACAATATCATGACCAACTGGCCCACCAGTTGTCAGTACTGACTGAGGTTGGTTAGCCGAACACTGACTGGGATCGTCCCAAATGTGCGATGAGGAATGCCTTTGACGCATGCTGTGAACCCAACTTGAGACGTCGCTACTGCACATGGATCTCTGAGGCATCGCTCAACTTGATCGAAGCGCGAAAACAGGTTCCGACAGGCACTGAGTTTCAACCTTTCGGCGACTCTGAAACGACGTCTGACAAGAGTTTTCGAATCGACCGGGAACCTTAGTGGATGACAAGGGCTCGTGAGATGGAGAAAGGCAGTGCTATTGGGAACAGCCTAGTACTGTCGCGCCTCATCTGAAATACTGGTCCGAGAAAAGCATCAGTTGGCGAGACAATAGCTAAGAAAGTTAAACAGTTGATCCATTCTCAGCCTCGTCGACCAGCCCGCTTGGTGAAACGTTTTGAAGAGCAGGCCTATTGCGACATTGTTGTTTACCGAATCTCCTGATCCGACCTGGGAGGTTGTTGTAACGCTGCCCTTCGCCTCTCTGCCTCTCTGGGGTACCAACCAGCCGGGGAAAACAAAACGCAGAGCGTGCTAGGCCGAAGTATATTAGGCACAGAACATGGGTACTTTTATAGGTCACATGCGCTTACCTCGCCGCTATCACTGAGGTGACTCACATCTCTTGTCTGAACAGATTCGACACTGGTAGCGGCCTTCACTGTCTGACTGTAGGTAGGATCACGTCCGCAACATAGCAACCCGTGCGGCGACGACGGTCTGATTTCGTCAGCTTCCGGTTTGACCATGACAACGAGCCTGTCAGCCGCTCACGTGATCTGGCCGATCTCGCCCCGCTAGTATGCACCATCGTAGTCAGCTGTTTCGCCTCCGTGACAGAGGTAGATGTCACACCTCCCACTTTTGATGAGATTCGGCGAGCTTGCCTTGTTGGATCGAAAGGAGGTTTCTGGACCCGACGGCGAAAAATGGTGGCTATTTACGAGATTTGACTCTCTATTTAACACCATTTTGACACAGAAGAGTTACCTTCAGACTGGCGACTGTCAACTATCAATCCCATTTTCAAGAATGGTCAGCGCACATTGTGTGAACATCATCGAAGCATTAGCCTTATTTCCACTGCCCCTAAGCATCTCACGTGTTCATCTTTCGATTTACTGGTGCTCGTGATAGCCAAATCATTAAAATGCAGGCTGCTTCCGACGTAGTCTTGATTGCACTGAACATATGTTAAGCTTTCTTCAATTGTTAGAGCAGAGGAACACTTACAGACTACCGAGTATTGTAGTTTTCCTCGACCGGAAAGCTGCCTTTTAGTCTGTTGATTGTGCCAGCAATGCTGAGGTCCGCCATTTGGTTTTTGCGAAAAAGCTTTTAACACCTCACTCGAGTGTTTGTGGAAGCTTAACTGCCCACGTTGCTTAGGTCATGTCCTCCCTATGTTCGTCGACCGACTTCCTTCGCGTGCATTATACGCCGTAAATACGCCAAGTTTGACGAAAGTCCGAGCATGGGCAATCCATGACGTGGCATAATAACATGAAGTAATTGACTGCGATACTTGGTCAGGCATTTACGTGCCGTTTTGGTGGATGGGGACGATCCACATCAGTAGTTAGAGACCTTATCAGAGATGACGCAGCCGCGCAATCAGTGGTATTTCTTTATTTGGTTTCTTCCATATAGCTGCTAATCTCCCATCCCGGTTAGTTTTGCGCACTTATGTCTTCATTCCATTTTCTCTGCACTCTATTTACATTCGACCGCATTTTTGCCATTTTATTGATTGTTATTCTGCTGACTGGCAATTGGATCCACCTCATTTCGGTGCCCGGATCATAATTGTCCAACTGAACTGAATCGAAGCTTACTGGTGTGTTGCAACTACTTATCTGACTCAGTAGCGCACAAACAGCTTATTTACCCATTGTGGTGTATGTTTACATTTTTCGATCAAACGCCTGTGTTCATCACCATTTTCTTTGTCGGTGCAAGATTGCACGTGCCGCCTCTCCCCTCATCTTAATGCACTGATCAAGTAATGCTCTCTTATTGCTTTAGATCACCTATCCCTTCCGTTTGCTGGTGGATAGCTTACCAGCTCCAGTTGCTGCATCCTCTCTAGTCAAAGCATCTTCCATGACATCTACTCTGAAACCCCTTAATGTTGGTGCGTTGGGTTTGTCCGAGGAAGACTTCGCTTGGTTGAGACCTTTGCGTGCGATCATTTTGTCTGCTTCCTCGAATGCCGCGGGTGACCGCTCGTTGGATTGTTCTAAGGGAGGCCAACTCAATATAACCGACGAAGTTATGCACCTTGCTCCATCAGATGATCGATCTACGGCTCCTATCGAACAGGTAGTTGAAGGTGTTTCGGAGATCCCTTATGTCTCTACCCCTTGCGACCCACATCCACCGTCTGACTCGGCACAGGGAGCCGATGTTTCCCGAGAGCAACTTTTGCTGGATGGCATCGAATCTTGTACTGGAAATGGCTCTGGTAGGCGTTCTCTTTGCCTAAGATTTTTATTACAAATGTCCTGGTTGACTTGTAACTCGGTACATTTTTGTGACTTATGAGCTCTTCTGAGTCCTCAGCGTTTGCCTTCTTACCTAGTTTGTCGCTGCTGTATTTCCTTATTCTGTTCAGAACAATCCCGTTCTACTTCACTGGGTTAAGTTCTGCCAAGTCCCTTTGGAAATTATGCCGTCATAGCCTGGGAGTGCAAATTACTGGCTTTGGACGGTAATGGGGATCAGCAATTTCTTGCCGTAATACCATAATGACAACAGCGCAATTTTATTTGGCTTAGGGCTTGGGATCTTCTAAACAATTTCAGACGACCATCTCGAAGTGCTTGTTCCAAGCAGTTTTGCGAACTATGCATCTGCATTATACGCGTTAAACGCGCATAATGGTGTTTGGTGATGGAGATCCTCAGTAGCCAGTGGCCGTGGTCTGTGAGTAAAATCAGTGGAAAGTTACTTACCGATTAAAATAGTGTCCATCAGAGTTACGCGAATCTTTGACTTAATTGATAACTTGGGTACAATGGTAACTTTGGAACAACTTTTCTTTTCACCAATTTAGAAAGCTTAGGATAGTGATGACATCTAACATCGGTGCATTGGAAACGCGCTTTCCGAATAGTTTGCAAGGTTCCGCCGCACCGAACGAAAGGTTACCACCTTCGTACGCTTGCGACAGCCGAAGAAATATGCATTCGATTGTTCCAGCCGTCCTTATGCTCATAGAAGAAGCTGGTCCAGGCTCTCCAGCCTCCCTGGGCAGCGAAGAAGAATGACGCCCAGGTCAACTGCCTTCGGTCAGACGCGATAGCAAACAGCTAGCCCTCTAAGACCTAATTCGTTTTCTCAACTCTGACATAGACCTTCATAGGATCAAGTCGTTTTGAACTAACTGGGTCGATTTTTATTTCTAGCCTCCATATGATTGTAATGGTCTGGGATGAATCATTGAAAGCAATTGCTCACCAGATGGTCTTTCGTTCTAGAAACTCCAGTTTACCTTACATAGTGGATGCCCAAGGAATAACTATTTCCCTTGAAGTGTGAGTGCTTTACATCGGCCTTTTGACTTTCGTGTCACAGATGGCTGTGATTGGTGCGATTCGTTTTTCTTCTATGCTCCATTTTAGCTATGGTGATTTACACCTTGGAAGCGCACTTAAATGCATTATTTGCTTTACTTACGAATCCTCCTAGTTGCGGTCAACCCAGTTACCCTGACTCAGATAACAGTGATAATAGCAGCAAAATAACCTACGTTATGGCCAACCTTGTGGTAGAACAATTGCCAACTATTTTCAGCCAAAAATGTTAACGGAATGGAGCAGGAGCATAAGCAAGACAGCTAAGGATTCCTGGCTGCTTCATGCTTACTGAAGTATATCTGGGGATCTAATAAGGGACTCCGTGTCCAAAGTCTTAGTTGTCGTTGAGTCATTCACTATTCACTTTAGAACTCTGCTCAACACATCACATACAACGATTATAACCTGACCAACTTAGGTATCGCGTAGCCCTTCAAGAGTCAGGTCAAATTATAAATAACCATTAAACTCCGTTGCTCAAAAGGCGAAAAAAACGTTTATGCTGCACATGAATTTGGGCGCTAGTTAGTACGACGGCTTTATACTAACCACTTCTACTTTTCTCGTCTTCCACCTTTTATTTCCATTGGTGTATACGTTTTGCTCATTTCATGCCACTTCTACTTTGCCTACCTCGAGTCATGCTTGGACGCTTGTAGCTACCCCAGCCAATCTGCTGCGCTCATGTTCGGGACGAAGCAGTACTTTGCTATCTCTAGCCCGGGCCTATGCTGATTTCTCTCTCTGGCTCGTCCACTCATGCTCAATTTGCCCACGCAACCATTGACTGGCCTACGGTCATATTACGACGCGCCGGTCATTTTTGCTCACTCGCCCATCTGTTGCCACGATAGGCTGCCATTTTACTAAACTTACTAGTTGGGTAATGGGGTCTGTTTACAAGCTGGTTGATGCATATCGACATTACTCACTCGGTGGTCCAATCTTATATCGTACAAACACTAATGAACAAAGACGAGCAAATTCTGACTGTTTTTCCGTTATCGAGGACATGGTTCTCGATTTCAATGGTCACATTGCTGCTTTGTAACCCTCACTCTGTTCCCCGTTAACTAACTGTAAGTCACTCATGGATGGTTGGCACACGAAATCTCATTGTCACTATTATTTACCTCGGGGATCCGTCAGTGTCTCTTCTTCATCAATGACAGTGATCTGACCTTATTGGGTCAGCTCTTTTGGTCCGTTTTCGACTGATATCGGAGTGTTATAAGGTGTCCACAGATCGTCGATTCGAATCTACGTAGGTGCAGTCGATCTCGCAGTATATCTAGCTCTCACGCGGCGGCACAGCGCATTCTTGGTACGATGTAGCAACTTACTGCTGATACCTTTTTCTCCTTCTATAATGGTCCCGGTGCTCGGTTGCCAAGACTTGCCTCAGCAGCGGAAATAATGGAAACGCTTGTTTCTCAGGAGTTGAGAATGGAAGCGTGAATAAATCTGTAAGAACGACTTCAGCCAACTAAAGCCACTGTTGCTGTACTCACTAAGATGTTCAACTTAGCGTACCATCTTTAATTGTGCTCTCGGAATCATATTCTAGTAAGACAAGTTTCTTACAAATAGAATAAGCCAATGCTTTCTATTCAGTTTCCCGCTCTAAGTATTTTAACTTATTCAGCCTTGTTTGTTTTTTTGTTTGAAGGGCAAATGGTCACTGCAACCTGCTAAGATACAGGTCCGCTACTGACATCAGCCTTAACTCATTATTTCCATGGTCTCCAGCCAGCCCCATTTCGCATATCTTGTAAAAACCCGACATGCGAACCTAGTGGTTAATTGTGGCGAATATGGGCGTCTATGTGCACCAATTCTGAGTACCGAGCACTCGAACATTCTGTTAACGGTCTCCTGGAGGCTGCTTGCTGCGCGCCGCTTCTGTATCCAATTTCGTTGCACATATATTTACGGCTTCCAAGCGTCCTTCTGCCGGGGCCTTGTTATGGTCCGCTGTCGGTCTCTATCGTCTGGTTTTCTTTTTAATTCTTTACTCTTGGCTATAAGCGCAGCGGTGTCTTCATTTGAACCATCACACTCCAGTTTAAGAACTCATCGGACGGAAAGACTAGGAAGATTATGCAAAGCGTGGTGGCATCGTGATGGAATTGTTACAGTCGCAGCGAAAGAGGCCGCTGGCAAAAGAACTACGTACTCCTTATTTGTTTGGCATTGTATCAATTCTGATCATGTGTGCGACCGATCCAGTTATATTCATTTTGCTCAAAATAAAATAAAAATAATGTGATTTAATATGCGTAGATGCCGTGTCACTAGCTTGAGAATATCGACAGTGCATATATGTGCACATATCCGTAAGCTGAAATGAAGTTATTAGGGTTTTAATCATGCTGGTTACTTAATTCACTTGCTTCAGCATTACAAATCCTCACTTGTATTCATGTCTTTAGGGTTTTGGCGCACCTTTGACTTCTTGTTTATTGGCTTTTCAGATAATCCGAATCAAGCCGCTCAAAATTCCACCCGGATTTCTTTGTCCGAAGTGAGTTCGGTTGTGCTGTGCATCTGCCTACACTCCATTTAGTTGCCACTAATCATTCGCAATTACAAAATATATTCGTGTTTCGTAATGTGGATAAGAATGCTGAGCAAGTTTTCAAACCGGGTCTGCAAATATTTTGTTATAAAACTAGGTGCCGTTATCAACTACTGCTCAGGGAGTTGTTTCTATGGCAACTATTCTACGATCGTCGACCCGGATAATCAAATATTCCTTTCTTTTATTAGCCCTGCTAAAGGCACATTCTGTAATTTTGTCCTTTACATCCCCAGTCATTGTCTTGACTTGTTCGTCGGGCAGGTCTATTAAATACTGGTTTGTGCCCTATTCTCGACTTCAGATTATACCGCATTTCCAGCCTGGGATCATCTTTCATTCATTTCCCAACGATCATACCCCTCTTCATTATAGTCTAGGAGTGATGGAGTGTTGCTCACAATGGCTTCTAGCAACACAACCACGATAGCGTTGTATCGATTTTCTTCACTAACTGGGATTACCATTATTATCATTCGTATTATTGTTTCGTCAGTCCCTATGTTAAGGTAGCGGGTTTCACTATTCAGCGTACGAATAATAATAAATAAATGAATAAACTCGTTCTCGTCGGTGCGAGACTCACCTGCATCGGCATGGTCGGATGCGGGCATACTTTCATAGTACGTTAATCACAGGTGGTTCAGAAAAATTAAAAGTCGTCAAATAATGACGTTTAGAAAGACACCAAAGACCTACTAAATGGTTGACTGAATTCCAATGATGTTGACTGACTTATAATCTCCCTTTTTATAAGTCATAAGAGAGAGTATGGTGGCGAAACATATACTGGGTCGTAGAAAACTGGATACTGCTCGTACGCTTGTCTTGTTATTATGGAGTAATGAAACTATTTGGTCTGTACGGTCACTAACTTGTTGATACTTCGGTTTACTTCAAGAGTACTGATACGTATTCGTAGTGGTTGATTGTTCTAGACTCCAGTGCACCTGTTACTGTACGCTTGCTTGACTGGATCCCAGTCAACAGTCGGCTATGCACCGTCCGATTTAGAGGTTCATGAATGTAACCAGGCGTCGAGACGTTAAGTGTGCCTTGTTTGTCGTCTCCGCCTATGCCCCTACAGACTGCAGCCCGGATGCCGTCAAGGGTAGCTTTTACCAGCAGCTGCTTGAACTTATGCGTGCCTCATAAAGGACTGAAATAGTTATTCTTGCTGGAGGCTTTAACGCACGGGTGGGCCGCCTTCCACCGAGCAAGCACCACCTTGGGGGTAGTTTTAGCATTGGTGGCAGTCGATCAAACAATGGAGTCAGACTGCTTACTCTTTGCTCTGATCATCGCTTGTTTCTTTCGAGCACTAGTTTTCGGCACTCGAAGAGACATACTACTACCTGGCGTCCGCCTTCTCAAACACAAGAATGGCCCCAACTTGACCACATAGTAATAAGTTGCAGAGGGCGTGGAAGCATAACGGACTGCCGATCGTACTGGTCAGCTTTTCTAGTCTCCGATCACGCGTTGGTTCTTGCCAAGGTTTACATGCGTTTTGGAGGATCACCTAAGCGCGCTCACTACCTATCGACGTGGCAAATTTACGAAACGCTTCGATTTTGACCAGATACCAAGCCTCACTGTCAACTCAACTATTAACGGTGATCTCGATCCACAATGGGTGCAAATCAAATATGCCCTAGTTTCCGTGGGCATCGACACTTGTGAAGTTGTCCGTCATTCGCCGTTTCCTTGTCACTGATGGACAAACGCCGCTTGATCCCGTCGGATTCCAGCCACAGTGAAGAACGCCAATCCCTGGGTCGAGAGTTGCGCAGGAGTCTGCAAATGAACCGCGAAGCTTGGTGGTGTGAATGTGCTAAGGAGATGGAGCTTGCTAGTCTCCCTGGTAATATCAGAAGACTTTTCCATCTTATTAGAGTTCCCGAAGGTGTTCGATCTGGTATAAGTGAAACAATATACGAAGAGGATGGCATGTTAATCACCAATCTTCAATAACGGTTGGAGCGATGGGCCGAACATTTTGGCTCGCAGTTTTGTTGGCCCCTAGCTCTATCTGCTACCTCTGGCGCTCGCACTGGTGCCGAGTGGTCTACCTCCACAAATCCTCCCTCTTACGAGGAAATCGAGCAGGGGCTCCGCCACATGAGGCCGTTATAAAGCCCCCGGCCCTGATGGTCTTCCGTCAGCGCTGTTGAAAGATGGTGGCGCTTCGCTGGTTTGAGAACTCACTGCTTTGTTCTCGAATGTTTGATCGAAACAGGAAGTTCCATCACCTTGGGGTGAATCGTTAGTCATCCCCATCTTCAAAATGAGCCTGCGCACAATCTACTCCCACTATAGAGGCTTAAGATTACTCACCGTCGTTTGCAAGCTGCTGGTGTCCATCATGTTTCGCAGGCTATCCCCAACACGCGAATCGTTGCAGCGAGAAGAACAAGCTGGGTTCCGCCCTGGTCGCAGTTGCATCGATTAAATCTTCACACTCTGCCAGATTCTCGAGCTCCGCCATGTGTATCAGTGGCCAACGATTGCTGTGTTCTTGGATATCCGTACAGTCTTCGATTCTGTCGATCAGACGGTACTGTGGCACTACCTACTGAGTAATAGCGTCCTCCAGAAGTTCGTGTCCATACTGCACACTCTCTATGGTCTGACATCGGGCAGCGTTAGGTCTTATGGCGAACTTTCGCTTTCTTTTGTCGTCTCCAGTGGAGTTCGACAAGGATGCCCTATTTCTGCGTTCCTGTTCAACTTTGCCATTGAGAATTTTCTAAAGAACGCTCTGGGCGATTCTTTGAATGCTGGTGTGGACCTCCTCCCAGGTAGTCGGGTGGTTGATTTGGACTATGCTGATGATATCGTATTGCTTTATGACGATCCACACGCCGTGCAACTTGCACTAAACCGCTTGGCGTTTGAAGCATCAAAGTATGGTATGTACTTTTCGTCATCCAAATGCAGTGCTCTCCTTCAAGACTGGCAGGTGCCTCTGCCTACACTCACGCTTGGTAGTGAGACAGTGGAGGTTTTGGAGAGCTTTGTCTACGTGGGAAATTACATCACAGCTGGCGGGGCTGTTGGAGACGAAATTTTGATGCGCATCTCGATAGCACGCCTCGCTTTTCCTAGGCTGAGGTACTTGTGGCGTCGCCACGACATTCGTCTCTCCATCAAAGTGTGAGTCTGTTGTGCAACTGGTCGCGCTTTCCTGTTGTACGGATGTGAGACCTGGCCCATTAGTAGAGTTGACTTTCGCAGACTATCCGTCTTTGAGCACCGCTGTCTGCGGTCCATTGACCGTGTGTGGTGGCGGCACCACGTAATCAATGTGGAAGTTAGACATCGTGTCTTGAGACGATGAAGCCACTCGCTCGAGGAGTTTGTCTCACTACATCAACTGCGGTGACTGGGACACGTATTGTGCATGCCTGTTCAGCATTACCCTCGTCGGGCGTTTGTGGTTGGTGGAAAGGGCTGGAGGAGACGGTCTGGTGGACAGCCTGCAACTTGGAGAAGCCGCATGAGGAAGCTGTTGAAACAGTTGGCCTCGGCCGGTTGTTGTCGACTACCTGGTTGGGGTCCGAGAGATGCGGATACTTGCGGGTTGAGGACGTTGGAAGCCATGGCTCACGAACAATGTCAGTGGCGGACTTGGGTTGCAGTGTCACTCCTGGACAAAAAATCTTTTGTTGTTGTTGTTGCTGCTGCTGTTTTCTTATTATTCATACTGTTTTTCTATTCAGCCATGATTCCGAGGGCACAATCTCTGTATCACAGGTTGTGTATAATATATGTGATGTACCCCGGCACGCTGTACCGACGCTTCGCTGCCGCGCGACCACCTCCGGTCCTGCCTGTACTGAGTATACTGCGATGACGCCCGCCCCTTTCACGGATCACTTGTGTCACCGACAGATTGGTCTTGGAACCTGAGCAATTCCTAGCGCAGCCGGGTCAACCCAAAAGTCAAAATCGGAAGAGCCAAGGTGTTATTTACAAATGATTAGACAACCATTTTGTTAACAAACCTCAAACAATTTCCAGACCAAATGTGTACAAGAATTCGGCTCTCCGATTCAACGTACTGCCAACAGCAATGGTTAACTGATAACACAATGCAGCGAAGCGGTTCTACTGTCAGCGTGTTTTAATGCGAAGTGATCAATCGTCACTCGATTAGCCAATGAGCAGTGCATATGGAACGCGGGCATTGTGAGCGAGTCTAGCCTACTCACTCAGACAATGGCATATTTCCTGGACGAGAGTAAGTGTGAATGTCTGGATGAGAGTTCGGCCAGGAAAACAAAGGAAGTAGAACGGAACCAGTATAGACTAATAAAGCTGAGTGTGTAACTGTGCTGTATAACACGCACGAGGATTTAGACGGAAGGTGGGAGTAGCAAGTTTAGCCATTGAGCAATGCAAGACGGGTAAAATCTTGTAGTTTCTCAATGTCCAAATGTGAACGTGAAATAAAGTAACTGAGGTTTTATCATGCAAAGTCCAATACGCAATCAAGGGGTAGTGATTGGTCGTCTCGGGGTCAATCAATAGGGGGAATCTCCAGATAGATTGAACAAGTTAATTTGTCCGTTACAGCTTATTGAGGAACAAATTCGGAGTCCTGCTGGTCATGCACTTACATTATGTTTGTATCGTGTGTTGTGGACAGCCGCTTATATCAGTATCATATTTGGCAAACTGGATTTGGCTGATCGACAAAGTGATATTGCTTGCTAAATCACATGCTACGCGTCTATTGCCCCGAAGCTCCATCTCACTATATTTTAGTGAATGTACTCTTCAGGATGTGAAAGACAAAGTGTGAGGTGTATGAGTGATAGAGCAGTGATACCGATATTAAACCTTTAGCAATGATAACAAAACGTAGTTACATGGTAACTGCAGATCAGAGATTTACGTCTTAGATGTTGCGTGTTGCAGCAAATGTGATGACCAAGGGTGGGGAACCTGAGAATTGGAAGGATTCACAAGAGGGCTACGGAGGAATAATGGTGGGAATGCCTGGTGTATACAACCCTCTTCTGTCAAAACAGTCTGGGCACCGATCACACTGTCACTTATAAAGCAAGATCTGTGTACAGCAATCGGTAAGAAAATCAATGGTTGTCCATTACGAGCGAGTGGGGTCAAGCGTTTTGTCTTCTGCTCTGTCACCGTGTCATGTAGCCTTCCCAGCGTCACGAGTCAAAATCCGATACTTGTCAAGCAGAACAGCACTTATACTACATATGATCGTGCCTCTAATGATTTATCTCGTATAATCAGGAGCGGTAGTTGGTTGCCACGGTTGCACACTAGTCACTTTTTATTTCCGCGTCTTCCGTCATATATAAATTATTAGGTCCTTACGTACTACTGGTTCTAACCCACATCGACTTTGTCCGTCTCGAGTAAGGCTTGGGCTCATCCGTTCTCCTCTGTCTGTTTCTCCAGCGCGCACACTTCGTCCGCTAGAGGCTGCCCCAGCCAATCTGTTTCACTGTCCTGCATGACATAGCTGTGCCTTGTTCTCTCTAGTCTGATCCAATGCTGATTTCATCCTTTGTTCACGCATGATCAGTTTGCTTCGCTACTGACTGCTTGGCCTCCTTCCTACTTACAAGGCGTCAGTCATTTTCTTCCAAGCAGCTGCTCCTACCACGCATACCATTGCTGTTACTTTGCGGAAGCACGTATGCCAGTTGTACAGCCGTAGCGAATGTCTTGATAGGATGTTTGAGCCAGGTGTTGCCACGAAGGGTGCATTTCCCTCGTTTTCTGCTGACGTTTAAGGAGTTTCTTCAGCTTGTCAACCTGGTAGCACCAGATGTTTGGACACCTTGTCAATACTCGCGCTGAACCCATTTAGCTCTGGTAACGTAGTCAGGTATGAGCTTCCACCTAGCACACGTCTGTCAATGAGGCATTGCATGACTGAGACCAACGGATGCAACGTATCTCTCGTCAACCTTTGTTCCGGCGACCGGCGGTGCGAGATCACCGTGCTTAACCAATTCGTATTCTCGTATTTTTTGACTCGAATGACGAACATTTTACCATAAGGCATATGACGGAAACCACATATTAGGATTATAACAGGTCTCGAGCAGTGGCGGTTGTCTGTTGTGCCAAAGTATTTCCATTATCTAGAGTTGCCAAACTAACACTTTTTCTTTTGGACTATTTGCCACTTGAGTACCTTACGTGGATGGTCAGTCTGTCGTTTTACCAAACTATTGCGCCTCTCACTCTCGCTAAATTCTTCATTTTATTTTGCAGCCTGGCACACTGCACTCAGCAGTCGATTCTGTGCCTCATGTCGACGACAATCTTATGAAATGTCCCGAAGCCGTTCTCCCTCGGCGTTCCCTGATACTCTGTGAGGATTCCTCTCCGTGCTCGAAAGCTTCACCTCATCGATCTTTGTCTACTTTGTTGGTCTCGGTCCATGAACTACTTACTTCACTGGATGCACCACTGTCTTTAGATGAGTCGTCACTAAACGCGAATGAGTTGATTCATGCACGATCTTCTGTTTGGAGCAAGGCGGATGTGCTGATAGTCGGGCATCTTCTTGACCAGTCATCTCCAGCACCCCACCCTTCTCCTCCTTCTGTATCTCATCCCGCCAAAACCCAAACCGGGCGCAATTTTTTGCATCATTTGCTCACAATGCGCTTGGTCTCGACGTCTCAACATGCAAATTGTGCCGGGAAGAGAATTGTATTAAAACAGATGGAGTGTGAAGGCGAAGCACACAACCCACCCACTGTTATATCAATCCCACCTAACTCGACCGATCTACCTGCTCCGGAATCTGGATTACAATCATCTGGCTCCAATACAGATCAACTTCAGTTGAAACAGTCAACTACTCCGGACCAAACTGCTGACGAGCACCCTCCTTCAGTTGATGCTGATTCCAGGTAAGGTTACTGTCTCTGTGGCACTCTGCTAAATTCGGTCGTCAGTGGCCACCCATTTCCCGACTTGCTTAGCTGATCCTTTCACACGCCAGGCTTGTGTACTGTGGTTGTTACTGAGCGTGCAGCTTCTATAGTAATCCTCCTTTCATCAGTATTTCCCTAGCCTAATTACCTATAGACTCGGATTTTGTTCTGCCGGTGCTGCGCTTGGTGACACAGTGCCGTCTGACGTACTTCATGTTTGCTCCTTAGTCAGTCCAATCATTTATTCACGTTCATTTCTCTCCGTTTACGTCTCAAGGTCACGAGACTTTTGTATGATTAACCTCTGATTAGTTTCCGTGGTAAATTGACTATCTGCATTCAATTCGTTCGTCTTTTATCTTGTGTGTTGCCAGTAACACCGCCCATCATCTTTACCTTACGTATTAATAACTTGAAAATACGATGACTCTGTCATATCGCTCTAAGGAAGTGGTAAAGGACAGCATTTTCATTGTTTCGGTTAAACACTGGGATTTGTACTGGATCCATGCTCCACACCCTACTGCATCTGACACGCAAACCGAGTAGATGTGCCAATTACTCCCCATGCACATAACCCTGCAGATGTGTTCTTGTACAGAGGAACATAATGGTGTGCATTTTCAGCTCGACTGCTCCATTTGTCTTATGAGTCGCACAATGTTGTGACCCTGCGTAGTCGTTGATGATGCATCAGGTTGTTCTCTTAATACTCTAGCCCTCAAAGGGGATTTGTACACACTACAGATGCACCGCATCGGACTGGAACCCATCATCACCACCATCATTGTACACTAGTTATGTATGAGAAACCACCGTGATACAAAGCAACTCGGTGGTTATATAAAAGAAAGGCAAAACAAGTGATACTGTCTACAATAAAGTAAATAAATAATAATGAGTCAGCTATACGCCGTAACGGCGTTTCGCTGCCGCGCGACCACCACCAGTCGCGCGCGGGCTGAGTATACCGCGAGGACGCCCACCCCTACGCGGATTCGAACCGGTGACCTTATGGTTGCAAAGCAAACGTGTGGACCACTCGGCCACCGGCCGCGTACAAGTATAACTTTGTCACATCTACACTCGTTCAGGCAGCCAACACAGACTGCAAAGCATCAGACAGCCGTCTCATCCCATCGAAAATAATCAGCAGTGCGCATTCCCTATTACTGCTGTGACAGTAGAACCCGGAATCCAACTGTTCCCAATCCGTGGTTAGGAATATTGGACATGGCGGTTACTAGATGTGATATAGCCTCACCCTCTCTCCACCCCCTACTTATGCTGCCAAATGCCTCATGATTTTACATGGCGATAGTGGAAGTGAGACTCAGCCACTGGAAGGCCATTTTACTCTTGCTTGTTGCGATACATTTCCACTTTTCTCATTCCGTTTCATCTACTGCTTCTTTTTAATCAGTACGCTGATCAACCAGCCTATAATTTCTTTAGTCTGCTAAGTTCCCTACTCTGGGGGAGAGTGAGCTACCCCTCCCCCAGCCAATCCGCTTCACTCAAGTTGTCTACAAAGCAGTGCTTTTTCATCTCTAGCTTGAGTCAGTGGTGCTTTCTCTCTGGCTTGTCCACACATGATCAATTTACTTAAGGGACGACTGATTGGCCTGCTGCCTACTTACAACCAGTCATTACCGCTCAATTGGACATCTGTTGCCACAATAGGCAATGCTATTTTACTAACATTTCTAGTCAAGTCAAGTCAAAGTAAGCTTTATCTACCCGTATGGATGCAATTTCAGTATTTTCACACCAACACTGCGGATTATTATGCAACAAAGCATTACTGAGAATTAACGCTTCATAGCGGTAAACAAAATTTGCATCTTCATTCAAGCATGCGGTCACGCAAGTGGCGTTTCACTTCTGTTGGGTCGATTAGTAAGCAGAATAGAGTTCCGATACGACGAGGTACGAGAATATAAAACTTTAAATTTTGTCCGTGTTGAAGAAGTTGATATAGTGCTGGCTAAGATAAGGGTGTGTGGAGTCATTTAAAATCTTGGCTGTAAAGTTGATGTATGCATCGAAATGTTTGTTACCAGTGACATCTATGAGCCTTTCTTTCTTTAAACCGGAGCAACGAGAAATAAATTTTAGCGAACGGACAAGAAGGACCTAATCGTTTTGAAGCAGTCCTGGGAAAATAACCGGGGGATAGTATAACCAGTCACAAACCGTAGAAATAAGGCATGGTGAACGGAAAGCGTTTTAATTCTGAGGGCGCAAAAAGTGCCTTCTAACTAGTTTATATGTTTCAAGAACATGTGTAGACCAAGATAAATTGTGGGATAATAAAACTAGATATCTCACGGTGAATGTGCAATTTGTGCTTTGGTCATCCACAGCCATTGGAAAGATGTGCACAGGGGACTCAATCTGTTGGCATGCAGAAAACAGAACGTTACGTCACAACACTTGAAAAGGTTGAGAGAGAGAGGGACCGGGAGCTGGACCAATTCACTAGTTCGTTCAACGTCCATTGGAGTTTCAAGGAGTCCTCGATGACTGGGGCTATGCGTTCCAGGACGACGTCATCAGCATATTTATAGCTTATGCAATTTGATGGAATACGGAGGCTTTCAACGTAGGCGGTGAAATCAAAACGGGGACAGGATGCTTTCCGACAAAACAACACGATTGGCTGGGAGTACAGAATACCGTTTGCCGCTCAGCTGCGTGAAGTTGGTGTGATTTGTGAAGTAATCAAGCACCACACTCCACACATATGGAGGGACGCCGTCCCCGAACAAAATGCTGAGCAGTAGTGTTCTAACAATGATCCCAAAAGCGTTGGTGTAATCAAGAAATAGGAACCGTACGCTCTTATATTTATTATTCAACGGTAACGCAGTGGAATGCATCAGATAAGAAACGAGATCTAGTGTGGAGCGCCATGGTTTATAGGCAAACCGTTTGACATCCTCAGTATGATTGCCTGTGAAAATGTGGGGATCAGCAGTTTTTACCGTTTTTTTAGCAACACGGACGTGCACGCAATTGGTCGACATTTCCGAGATCCTTTTTAAGCACTGGTGTTATTCTGCCTACTTTCCAAATCTCCGGTATGGTACCAGTCCCTAAGCACCGAGTCAAGACTTCTGTTACAGGTGTTGTTACAACACCTGCGCATTCTTTCGGAACGACTGTTGATGGAGCATCTGATCTACTAGCCTTGTTTAATTTCAACCTTTTGAGCTCCTTGTAATGCTTACGGAAGCAAATAAATTAGGATTCTTAGTAGTGATGAAAGAAGACAGGGGGTATGTTAGGTGATGAGGATCTGAGTTTATCTGCATCCCCGTTGATGAGTGTTCTGAAGAAATTATTTCCAGAGTTGTCCTGGTAGCCTCCACAGATCACGGCAACTGCGTTTGTCTAAAACGGCCTGTATCTAATGAGTGTTTAATCCTTTTATTTCTGATTTTATAGCTATGGATAGACGTTTAACACGAGCAGTTGGCCTATGTTTATATGCCTGTTCATTTTTCCTCCTAAGTTGTTTGCGCAAATACATTGTCGCAGAGAGACAACATAGATCAAAACGGAAGTTTATGTAGCCTGTGAGGTGCTCGCATTGCTCTGACAAGTCGTTATTTTTCGAAAATTAAAAAAATTAGTTAAAGACAGCGTTGATTGGAGTTTTTCGATGTTATCTGCTGAGCACTTCCGTTGTTTAACAGTTCTGAATAGTCTTTTGGTCAGTGGAACGTAGTTGGTTTTACTGTATAGCTTTACTGTATAGACTTCAGCCATTTAAAGCCGCTGTTCCTGAACTCACTAGGATGTACAACTGGGCGCACCATCTTCAATAAAGATGTGCTATCTGAGTCATGATAGAGATTGGCCGGCGCTGTTTCACACATACTAACTTAATGATGTCACTCGTTGCTGTATCCCGTGGCTCAGTGTTCTTAACGACGGACTGGGTTCTCTTCTCATAGGGGTTAGACGTACTGCACACTGCGAGAAATAATGCTGTTCTGTCTTTGTTATGCTAGTCGGTTACGATTTACTTCCGAGTCAATACTTAGAATCAATTAACTTCACGAAATGGCAGCAGTCGCTGTGACATGGTGCCTATCCGCAATATGATAAACCCATCCTCCACTCTCATACGCGTTCCTAGAGTACATATTGTGAGACGCATTCCCACTGACTTATCTTCTGTCGCTGAACCGCTATCATCCGATAGTGTGATAAACTAGCTTCGGTGATTAATGATTTTTAAACTGAGACAATTTTCAGGGATATTCACCCAAATCAGAGCGCTGCCAGTTTCAACTTTTCACTGAACTGCTTAACTGCGCACAGTGGATTTACTCTGAAAGCCATTGCTCTGGTATACTCACGGATGCGCAGTTGCTCTACGGCTGATTGTCTCTCATGAAATCACGACCTCTCCTGAACTTTTTAACGCCGTTCATTCACGATCTCAGTTTAAGAGTACGCCAGCTTGGCCTTATATTTCCTGCTATTGTCACCCTTTTGATCAAACCGATAACAATCTACTCTACCTCTTGTGCTTCCTGTGCTCCAAATGGCTTACCGAGTAAATCACCGACAGATGTGAAGTGCGTAGACAACCTGACCTTTGGGTTGAACCCCGCTGCTATGCAAGCACTACCGATCGAACCTATTCACCTTACGTGCTGCGCGCTTTCGAAGCGCAACGCATCGTCGAACGGCTAGACAGACTCACCGCCTGCCTTAATCACAAGAACTAGTCAGTTATTTTACTGACATATGGGTGGTACCACTTCTGTGTGGCTCCAACTAGTTTCACTCATTTATGCTAACCGAGCGATATGAGTGTACCAGTTGGATATCGCTTGTGTAACGCTGCCACGTGATCAGTGTTGACGTATGACTCAGCGACATAACCACTACACACTGATAACTCGCGTTCTCTTGAACTGAGCATCCGGTGAGTGTCACTTGCTGCAGAACTCATCTGC